ACTGAACTCAGGCCTGTGGGCCACTTAGAGCTTGGGGTATCACAGGTGGGTAGGGTCTTGGAGAGTTGAGCCTACCTTTATCCCCATTTCATGGGTGCAGAAAGCCAAAGGGAGCAGGTCCTGTCCAGAGTCACCATGGCTTAGGCCTATAGCTGGTCTCTTTCTCCATAGGCTTCTCATTTGAACGAGGAACCAGGGGCCCGAAACTAATCTAATCCGAAGCAGAGGGAGAGGCAGGGCTCTGTATTGGAGGCAGGACACCTAGGTCCAGGGGCCCTCCTCTCGAGAAGCCTCCCTGTCTCCAGCAGTGGACCTGATCAGGCCCAGAGAAACACTGGCCTCTGAGCCTGGGTGCTGACCAAGGTGCTGAACTTGTATGGCCTCTTCCTTTTTTTATTTTTTGGGGGTCAAACAAATTGTAGAAACAACTTTATAAATAGATTCTTATACAGGAATCTATACATATACAAGAAAGAACACATATATGGACCCAAATCACCAGTAAGGCGAATCTGCCTCTCAACACACAGCCTAGCTGAGGGAAGGAGGAGTTGAAAAGGAAAGACAGCCCCATATTCTTGTCACTCAGGAACCTCTATGGCTGGTTTTTTTTTTTTTTTTGTTTTTTTTTTTTTTTTTTTTTTTTTTTTTTTTTTGGGGGGGCAGGAGTTAGGGAGAACATCATGGACTCAGAGCCAGGATTTCTGAGGTCTGTATACCCCTCAGAAAGCCATTCTCTCATTGGCTCTCCACCTGCTTTTTCACCTGTTCAATGGGAGGAGTATCTCCCATCCTACCAAACTCAGAGGGCTGGGAGCAGCACTTGGGGACAGGGGACAGACCCTACCCAGATCTCATGCCCATCCCTGGGACCCAAGAAGCCTTGTAGGATCTCACCCTCATGGAGGGGCTTCTTGTGTCTGTTTCTTCCCCTGTGGGACAGAGGAAGTGCTGAGTGGTCTCAAATGCTCCTTCCAGCCTGGGTGTGCTGGGTGCGGTGGCTGTAGGAAGTGGCTGTAAACATGAGGCACACTTTGCAAACCAGACTGGCTTAGGAGTTATTTATTTATTTATTTATTCATTTATTTTTTTTAGTTTTTTTTTTTTTTTTCTTTAGGGGGTGTGCTCTCCCCA